CACCTTTCAGAAAAACACCAACCCATCCACCACCACATTCGCGAGACTCGTCGACCATTTCATGAGCAGGAGAGGTGCTGCGCTGGAATCGACCACCGTGCCTGCACTGTGTGGGCGTGTTAGAATGTCTTGTACTTGGGCATGGAGAGTCTTTTAATGTCTTCTACAGCCGCCCCCCACCCCCTCCCCGTGCGCGTGGTTTGAAATTGCTTTCCAGCGCTCTTTTCGGCATCCAAACGGCCAAGATGGCCTCCAAGACGGCTTCCAAGGCAGTCAGGGTGACACCAAGGCAGCCCGAGATGACCCAAGACGGTTCAAGAGGCTCCCAAGACGGCCTCAAGACAGCTCAAGAGAGGCTCCCAAGACGGCCCAAGAGGGCTCCGAAGAGGCCCTCCAAGAAAGCCCGAGGAGGCCGAAACCATTGATTTTCCTTCGGTGATCGAAGGATTTCGAAGTTCTCGCCTATTTGGGATTCTGACTGACCAAGACGGCCCAAGGGGCTTCCAAGATAGGTCCAAGGCAGTTCATGAGGCCCCCAAGAGAGCTCCGAGTCGGCCCATGAGGACCCAAAGATCGCCCAAGAGGCTCCCAAGAGTGCCCCAAGACGGCCCTAAAGCGCTCCAAGAGGGCACCGAGGCGGCTCAGAGAGGCCCCCAAAACGGCCTCCGAAGACGGGCCAATCGGCTCCCTACGACGGCCCAAGAACGCCCAAGAGGCCACCACGAGGCCCCAGGAGGCCCCCGAGAGGCCCCCAAGGCGCCCCAGGAGGCTCCCAGGAGGCCATCAGGAGGCCCCCCAGGAGGCCCCAAAGGGACCCTAAGAAGCTTTCTCCTCCTCCTCGTCATTTCCTCCCTCTCCTCCATCCCTTCTCCTTATAGATAGCTCCTCCCTGTCGCACCCTGAGGCCGGTCGAAAGGGCAGGCCAGGCGTTTCGCCTGAGACCGTTTCATGATTTATGATCCTGAAGTTTAGAATTGGCAAGACTTTCACAGATGGAGGGCGGCCCGTTGTTTTAATGTGGCTCTCGCCTTAGCGCCGCGCACATTCGTATTTGCAAGTTCGCAAGAGCTTCGCGGATGTAGGGCGGTCCGTTTTGAACCTGTGGCCCTCGATTTAAAGCCACGCACATTCGCCTTAGAAGATGGCAAGAATTTCACGGATGGAGGGCGGCTCCTTTTCAAAATGTGGCTCTCGCCCCAGCGCCGCGCAACTTCGTCTTACTGCAACGAGTTTCACACATGGAGGGCAGCTTCTTCTTCAAAATGTGGCGCTCGACTTCGCGCCGCGCACTTTCGTCTTATGAGTTAGCAGCAGCTTCAAAAATTCTCTGGGCTAACGTGTCAGAAGTTTGCTTTGGCACGGTACCGGAATGTCAGAGCGCAGCAATCACGTTGCTCAGCGGTGCTGACGTCCCAAGAATGGTGTTCTGGAACGATTCAGGAACGTCATGACGCAACAGTAACGGTGATTCGCGGCGTTGATGTCCCAGGGATGGCGTTCTGGCACAATTCTGGTGTTTGAAACGGTTGTCTTCCAACGGGGCACTTGCCTCAGTGAAAATGAATATGTGTAGGTGCCTCTGAAGAGGGAGCTTGAAGGGATGGAGTATTGAAATATCGTTGATGAGTTTTGGATTTACTCTCGTCCTCATCCTTTTCCTCCTCTTCCTCCTCCTCCTGATTATCCACCTCCTCCTCGTGCTCCTCCTCCTCCTTCTCCTCCTCCTTCTTCCCTCTGCCGGGCGAACGAACACGATGTTGGGATCACGACCCTCCCCTGTTCAGACCACTTTCTGGGCTGCGGCGGGATGTGAACTCGACCTCCTTCCTACCGTGCGGACGACAGAGAGGTCGAGTTCACGACCCGTCCTCATCATACCACCTGTTGGAATCGCGCTGCTCCTGCACGCCGTGCCCTTCGTGCAGCGCTGTTGCACAGGCACGGTGGCGGGGTTTGCCGCAGGCAGCCGGACAGCAGGCACAGGCAGCACCTCGAAGCCCTCTCGGGGCCCTCTTCGGGCTCTGTTTGCACCGCCCACGGCCTCCTCGGGACCCCTCGAGAGAGCCCTCCGAAGCCCCCCGAAGAGGGGCCTCGTGAAGGCCCCCCGACGATGTCACACTGATGCGGCTTGGCACGATGTCGCGGAGGCCCTCCCGGGGACTTCTCGAAGAAAAATGCGTGGGCCCGCTTCGGGCCGCCGGGGCATCCTAGAAAGCCCCGAAAGAGGGCCTAAGACATGCGCGCCCGATACCGAAACGAAGAACTCGGAACCTGCCGCGGGAAACAGCGGCGCCCGTCGGGGATCTTCTGACCCGGGTCAATCCAGACCCAGGTCAGCCGGGCCTTGCAGGATCCTGCAAGATCCTGCAGGATCCTGCACCCAAACCTGGGTCAATGCGAAGGATCCTGCAGGATCCTGCAGGATTCTGCACCCAAACCCGGGTCAATGCGACCCTGGCCCTGCAGGATCCTGCAAGATCGGGCGCTCTGGCTGACCCCCCTTTGCATTGACCCCCGTCTCTTGAGCCCCGATGCCGCGGGAAACAGCGGCAACCGGTTAAAATCGATGGCCCCGCGAAGCAGAACTATGGCGGGCGCGCCAGGCCGGGGCTGGCCACGCAGCGTTCGCTCGCCGCTCGAGTCGGGCGCACCGCCGCGCACCGCGGGCGAGGGATTCGAGGAGGCACCACAGGAAGGCCTGGTGAACGGCGGGGTTTGGTGGCTCACGCCCCGCGGCCGCGTCTTCGCCCCGTTCGCTCGCGCCGCGCGCTGTGCGCGGCGGTCGTTTCCCCCTCCGTCCTCGTCCTCTTCCTCCTCCTTCCCCTTTCTTCTGTGCGGCTCTCAACGTGTTCTCTGACACCCCCCCCTGGCACTTCCAAGAAGCACGCCCAGACGATCTTCAAGATAGGAAGGCCCTGAGAACGGGGGGATCGACGTTCGAGAATATCGGACGTGTTCCATGTGTAAGCACTTGTTCGCCAGAGGGCCCCTAAAGGGCCCCAGGGGGTCCCAAGAGGCGCCCAAGACGGCCCAAGAGGGCCACAAGGCGGCCCCAAAAGGGTCACAAGAGAGGGAAGGAACACGAACAGAAAAAATCTAAGCCTTCCGCCTCTAGAGGCCCCCAGGAGCCCAGAGGCGCCCAGGAGGCTCCAAGAGGCCCCCGAGAGGCCCCACGAGGCCCCCAAGAGGCCCAAAAGGAATCCTAAGAGGCACCAAAACGGCCCCCAAGAGGCCTCAAAGGTGCCTCTAAGAGGCCCCCGGGAAGCCTCCCACGAGATCCCAATGAACATCCAATAGGCTTCATTCCCACAACCCGAGGACGGTGGAGGGGTGGGCCGAAGGCCATTAGATATATATCTATATATATATATAGAGAGAGAAGGGGAAAAAGAGAGAGAGAGAGGGAGAGGGAGAGGGAGAGGGAGAGGGAGAAGAAAAAAGGCACGGAAAGTGGAAGAGAGAGAGAGAGAGAATGAGAGATAGAGAGGAGGATGGGATGTTTCCTTCGCGCGAGCTTGTGTCTGATAGTCACGACGGCCGTGTGTTTCTCATGTGACGCTTTTTGCGGATTCAAAGAAGCCGTCAGGGTTACTCCATGCTGCTCCCCGAGACCTTGGCCAGGCCTGAAGCAAAAACAATTACCCTGACTTCGACCAAACCATATGCAATTATGAGTAACGCGTTGGTGGTGCCGCTTTCGGTGGGCCACGCAACGCGTGACAATGCGTGCCGCAATGGCCGGGGGGGACGCATGCGGGCGGTCCCACGGGGGACTTCGGTGGAGCTCCATGTGGGGCCACGAAGCGCTGTAGTGGGTGGTGGAGACGCATGCGGGCGGTGCCATCGGGACCTTCGCTGGAGCACCCTGTGGGGCCACGAAACGCTGTACTGGGTGGGGGGCGGGGGGGGGAGGGGGGGAACGACGCGTGCGGGCGGTGCCACTGGGACCTTCGCTGGAGCTCCCTATGGGGCCACGAAACGCTGTACTGGGTGTGGCGGACGCATGCGGGAGGTGCCTCTGGGGCCTTCGGTGGTGTCCCCATATGGGGCCGCGAGACGCTGAACTGGGCGGGGGGGACGCGTGCGGGCGGTGCCACTGGAGTCTTCGCTGGAGCTCCCTATGGGGCCACGAGACGCTGTACTGGGTGTGGCGGACGCATGCGGGCGGCCCCACTGAGACCTTCGGTGGAGCCCCCTATGGGCCCACGAAAAGCAGTGGGAAAACCCGCGGACACACCCGAGGAACATCGAGCCCCCTCGAGCCCCGTTCGAAACCCAGAGTGGGCCTTGTCCTAACGCTTTGACTGCAGCAGAGACCTTGGATATCTTCTTGTCGTTCAGCACGACGTTGTTCGTCTCGAGGCGGCCGACCGACGCCGATGTGCTCTGCGCCGTGAATGTGACCGCCGCGGGCAGATTCTCCGGAGCCGCCTCGGTCCGGACGAGCTGGGCGATCGGGGTACCCGCGCCGTCCTCGGCCAGGGATAAGGTTTGGGGCGAGCTTGACTCGGGCCGGGCGAAAGGGGGGGATAGCAAAGGGGGGGGTTGAGAATCAGCTCGCGGAGCTGATTTTCCCAGCGCCTCCCGGCGCCGGAGGCGGCTGTGTACCGAGGAATGGGCCCCTCGGTGGGGCCGAAACCAGCTGCACGCAGCAGATTTCGTAAACCCCCCTTTCCCAATTCCCCCTTTCGTCCATCCCGATTGACTACGGCAAATTTATTTTCTCACCACGACGGAGAACGATGATGCTCGATTGGCCGGCCAGGTTAACCGAATTCTCGGCGATCGGCACGACCAATGAAGAGTGGCAAGACCTTAATTATGAGAACAGCTTGACTACGGCAGCTTCGTGTCGTGACGACAGTGGAGGTGGTTCCTGACACTGCGTGGGTCGTTAAGCTTGAAAGCCCTGGCTTTCCGATTGCGTGGATCGTTCCATATCGGGCGATTCCACCCCAGTGGCAGCGTACAGCCTTGAATGCAAATGCTGGAGTCGCCGTCGCGTCGACACGACACGAATCTGCCGCACGCGGTGCAGAAGGGACCCCAGCTCATGCAGGGAGGTGGCCAAGAGTTCAGCTGACACATATCTGCCTGACGGGCGCGCGCAAGCTTCATTGCGCCCCTCCGTCGCCAGCTGCAGAGCATGCCTGGAAGCCGCCTCGAGACACGCAAAGACATGACGTTGACGGCAAACGAACATTCTGGAATGGCGCCGCAGGCCTCGACAACCGACCCGCCCAATACATCCGACCCCTGTTTAAGACCAGGGCTAGCCGTGTACTTCCAGAAGGCTCAATAAACTTGCGGAAGCTTCCGCGGAGCCCTCCAGGACCTTTGGAAACGTCTGGGGCCCCCAGGGACATCCGCACCCCCCCGAAGAAGCCTCCACCTTCCTCCTCCTCCTGAGGCAATGAGACAATGACGGCAGCGGAATTCCCTCGACGCTGCCACCATCCCCAGGCAGGCCTGGCCGGGCCCCCCGGGGGAAGTTACACAAAAGTAAGGGCCGAGGCCCCGCGGGACAGGAAAGAGAAGAGAAGGAAGGGACGCGACATCAAATCATCAACATCATAACGTCGAAGAAAAGAAGAGGAGAGAGAAAGGATCGCGTGGCGGCAGTAGGCGTGGCGATGCAAAAATCGTGGACGAAGCGGGGGCCGCGGGCCCGTTATGGGAGAGTCCCTCCCCTTCGGGCCCCCTGGCCTCTTGGGGCCAGTGCCCTGGGAGCGCCCTGAGGCTCCCCTCTATTGAGGTGCCCTTGCTCAGCAAAGGATTGGGCGGCGGGGGCGCGGCAGCGGCTGAGACGCGAGACTGCGCGGTGGGGCGGCCGAGTTAAAAAGCAAAGCGTAGGCGCCGAGGCAAGACAGCAAGTGGAGGTGGTGAGGCGGGCAGTGAAGACAAACAGACGCGAGTGAGGTTGAGTTTGGGTAAAGGTGGCGGTGGAGGTTGCAAGGTTAGAAATGAACGCGGAAACTATTTCGCGGGGCCCACTGCCAGCCTGCATGAGGTTGGCGAGCGCGGTGGGACCTTCCATTGCGCAGTATCCTGTAATTGTAGGCACGGTTGCCTCCGTGAGCTGGTAAGCGAACACAGCTGTACGCATGCGTGCCTGCGTAGAGTGCGGTGCGTAGTTCCATCCTCTTCGTGCCCATTGACATGCTTTCCCTATCCTGATCAGCGCGAACGTCGTGTTGATGATGTGCGGTTTGCGCACTCGAAACGGTTCCGTCTTGTAGGCTGTCTCGGCTGCTTCTCGGATACTTGCATTCAGGTAGTGGGCGCGGTCGTTTATGTCGTTGCCCCACAGGTACAAACGTAGTTTGATAAGTTGATGGCGGAATATACTCTGGTGGGTCGCGTGGTTAATCTTCTTGGGGTCCAATCGTGGGGCTGCACGCCTAATGCGGGCGACGTCAAAATACTGCTAGCTCATCAAAACCGGGAAGTGATCCCCGTCTTCCTGAACCGCGTCGATGACGACGATGACGGCGGGATCCGTCACCGCGTCTAGGTTGGCTGTTGGGATGACGATGTACTCGATGCGCTCATTGTTGCCACCAGTGGTGTATGTGTAGCTCGGACCTCTGCAGCCTATAGCAGTGCCGACTGCGGCCATGTGGTACCTGATGAGGAACTCGCGGGAGCGCGCGCCAGCCTCGTCCTCCTCGAGCCCCCCTCCGCAGTCGCCCGTCGGGTCGAAGATGCGCTCTCCCGCTGTGGCGTTGGCGTCGACCACCATGGCGAGGTCGACCCCGACAGCGCGAGATTTGTGATTGATGTTGGCCCAGAAAGTATACGCCTTTTCTTCGCCCGAACGTCCGTGAGTAACGAAAGCCACAGCCACGGTCCTCTTGAAGCCCGGTGCCGCGACGCGCACGACGAGGAGCCTCGGGTCTGGGCACAGAATTCTGAAGTGGCTAGAGCATAAGTAGCGCTTCGTGCTGCTGGTTGCCGCATGCGAAATGTCGATGGGTCACGAGGAGCAAGCAGCCCGAGTTCTCATTAGCGCGCCCACCGAGAGCACGGGCTTGCTTTGCGCGTGTCGTCGTCAGCCTGCTGTAGCCATTTCCATTGCCGATGGCGTTGCGCATCAAATACTGCGGCCCATTCTGGCAGCGGGCTGGTCTCGTCGCGTTGACTTGACCTCTTCACCACAGAGTCAGCCAGCTGGCGCCAAGGGCGGCCGGCGCGAGCGCGCGCGTGGTCGGTGCAAAGGTCAGCGGCGTTAGATGCCATCTGGAGTAGCTGGGTGGTAACTGCGACCAAGTCAAAGTTGCTGCGAGGTGCGAACGCTCCAGCGGCTAACCCAATTGCCACCATGGAGTCGGCGCGCACAGTTACTGGCACGCTGTTGTAGACTTCTGCTCGGCTGTATATCCATGCGCATGCCCAGATAAGCGCCGTCAATTTCGTCGATGTTGCTGTAGGTGGTCCCATGTGTGCCGCCGTGGAATCTGTGACTTTGGCTGACAAGTCTTCCTCAACATGCAAAACCGCCGTCATCTCCGATGGTCATCGCGACGGCCCAAGCGCCCCCTGTGGAGCAGGTCTGGAGAGCGCCGTCGGCGCCCAAGTGGATGCGCGCGATCACCCCGCGCGTTCTGGGCGGGGCAAATTCGAGTGCCGCGACGGCGCGTGGATTGAACCGCTCTGGCCCATGTAGGTCGGGGAAGTCGATGATGAGGCGGGGCGTAGAGGTGCGCCTGAGGACGCCAGCGATCGACTCGGTCACTACGAAGTTGAACTTTACCGTATTTTTTCCCGCTGGACTCCTCGTGGCGTGGCCCCCAGATGGTTGGCAGTCTCGCGCGACGCAGGATTGCCCATCGGATGAGGCCTGTCGCTCGTGGACATGATATTTGACCTCCACACTTGCAGGGCAAAGGTCATGGAGTTGCCGACGTCAATGTAGGTTCCCCACATCTTGTCTCAACACTCGGTCACTAGGTCCCAGCTGGGCCCTTTCCCTGGGCTGCACTGGCACTGCGGCCCTGTGAAGGGTGGCAGTGGAGTTGGCCGTCGTGCATTCACTACGTCGCCCGTCGCTCTACTGCCCTGAGTGCGGGGAGCCGCTGGCTTTGCACGCCGTCGAAATAGCGCCGTGGCTGGTCGCCGTAGTTGGTCGGAGCCCGTTGGACTGTCCGTCTGAATTACCTCCTCCGATCGTTGGTCGAAATCGTTGTCGCCCCGCTTCGATGGGCCATGCCGGTCTGGGTTGGCAATATTTGGCGGCGCGCAAGACTCACCAGATGCGGCGTCGTTTTTGCGCGGTCCGACGCAGTAGTGTGACCGCCACCATGAGTCCGTTGATTCCTCGGCAACGTTGGCTTCGTCGCCCATCGAAGCATCTGTCGGAGGGGGCCTTGGCCACGGGGGCCCTAGCGGCAACGTCGCGGAGCTCGCTGCGATCGATAGTGGCCCTCTTCGTTCATCGTGCGCTTGGTGCCAAGCCAATGAAGGCCCAGCGAGGACACGCTGGTTGCGGCGTCATCTGCCCTGTCGGGGCGACGACGCCATCCCTGTCTTCGCAGGTGATGGCGCGTCGATGCCAGTAATCTCCTGAGCACGGCTGGATGGAGGACGCGGTTGTCCTGGCGGCGTGGATCCCGAAGACCAGATTGGGGCTGGTGGCGTTGGCCATTTTATCTCGTCAGTCTGGGGTTCTCCCGGTGGCGCAGTCACGACTCTCTCTGTGTCCCTGGCGGAATGGACATGTGGCACAGGTTGCGACACTGGTACTGCATGTAGGTCGGCTTCGCGGAGCGTTTTGTCGGACTGTGTCTGAGTCTCCTGCGTTTCTCCATCATCGAGTGGGCGTTCAAATGGTTGGACTGCTGGGAAGACTACAGTTGCGGCGACGGCGCGCTGAGAGCCTGGTCGACAGCGTCGACCATCTCGGCACTGTCGAGGTGCTGCTGGCCGAAGATGGCCGCCTGTCGGGCGTGCTAGAACTCCTCAGTGGCTTCACCCGCCCTCCCTTCCCGCGTCTCCGAAATTTCCGCTGCGTCCTACTTCATATTGACGGGCTTCTCGTTGATCTGCCGCGCCCATGTCAGCTCGCTGCGGCGCGAGCTGAACTGACCCTTCAGCTAGTAGAGCAGTGCAACGCACTTGCTGCTCGTGGTTGCGCACGCATCTTGTTGTCTGGTGTCATCGACGCCCCTGCTGTCGTCGAGTGTCCTGCTCGACGCCGGCATGCTTCTGCTGGCGCTGGCCGCTGGCCACGTGGATGGTTACCCCCGCGCGCCTGCGTTGCTCTGGTAGCTCCTGCCTCGCTCGCATGCTTCTTCCCTCTGCAATCCCGAACCTCGAGTGCAGGGCGTCGTTGTCGCTGCGGCCCCTGATCCAGTCTTCGGCCGCTGCGGCTTCGACGCCAGCGACGTGGCCCTCGGCCCCCAGGGCCGCGCTGTAATCATGCAGCCGTTCTGCTGCCAATATTTCTGCGCCTCTCTCCCACGCTGTCTCGCACG